TCAATAGCATCATTTTCGTTCTCCATTCTCTCTTCTACCCACTTTCAATGTCCCAGCAACTACTTACGATTCACCTCTTCTTCTCCCCAAAAACACGAGATTCTCCAGCTTTTTTTCCTTAATATCCAGTGATTATTGTTCTTAATCGACATGATAAATTTTCCAGCGTTTTTTCCTTAGCAGCCAGTGGTCATCGGAATCGCTGTTGGTAAAGTTTGATGCTTTACTTGTTTGTGTTAATTTTGATTAGATGGGTTTTGTTGGTAAAAGATTTTCATGATGGGCTTAATTGATTAGATGAGTTTAATTAATCATATAGAAGTAGTGCTAAATTGGAGTCAATGTGATGGATCTTCGTGTATAATTGATTCAGGGCAAAGCTTGGGTTTTCCTTTAAGAACAAGACCATTCTTGTGTTTTATTGATTTGTAGACAATTACTTGACATGTTTATGTGGACAATTTGCACTGGACATCGTGTTATGGTCAAGCTTTGTGACAAGAATATGAGTTTCAAACTGATATGTTAAAATATTCATGATATAGAAAAAGAAAGGAATGTGACATTGTTGTCCACGAAAGTATATCCATTTACTGCATCTCACATGAACATATGATAAATACAATTTGTTTTAGGTTAAAATCTTTGTTTGATGATCTCTCAATTATAAAAACTGTTGATTTTGATATCTCCATGTGGATAATTTGTATCATTGCAGGTTTTGTGACAAGAACATGGGTTTCAAGCTGATATGTTAAGACATCCACGATAAAAGAAAAGGAAAGAATCTGTCATTGTTGTCCACGAAACTGTAACCATTCAGTACATCCCATATGGACATGTGTTATTAAATACAATTTGCTTTAGGTTATAAGTCTTTGTTTTATGATTGATCTCTCAATTTTTAAAACTGTTTATTTTAATGATTGATCTCTAGATTGTAAAAACAAAGCTTCATGATCTTATTAAATAAAGTTTTGTGGAGTCAAAGATGGAATTCTGGATTACACACATCATCCATTACATAATTAAACATATGGTCATACATATATGGCTACCTAAGTATCCATGATAATTTGCTCTCCACAAACCATGTGTTCTTCTATGATCTTTCTCAATTAGAATTTATACACCGTTCGGAAATACAATCAAACCACCTATACCACAACTATTACTCTAACTCTCTTCTTAGCACAAATAAACGTACACAAGAAAGAAAAGTAATATAACAAACTCTAGAAAACCTAGCTTTTTAATTAAATTCATAAAGGAGAACTCATGCTTTAGAGCAGGTCCATTGGTGTGTTGTAAGAGGTGTTCTAAACTTCAACTGGCCCAAAAATAAATCAGAAATAAAATAAAAGCCCAGAACATGTTCTCATAGGAGACATTTGAGAACTGTCCAGGACACATACGTGGCGTTCAGCCATTGGTTCGGATTAAAAAAAAAAA